GTACTGTATTAACTCATGTTTAAGCCACTCTTTTTTCCAAAAACATTGTTCCCAAATCAAGGGTGCGGTTTATCTACGAGAAGACTAATTTGCATAAATTAGCATTCACTGTGTTACATTGTACTTAGTGCAGACAATTGGCGACGTATTATAAATTGTCTAGGACAATCAGTTTGTTTTACACGGTGTGAACAGAAATATTTTAATGTAAATGCAGTACTGTTACTATACATTCTCCGAATATCAAACTCTGAGAAACACAAGTTAATAAATTAAACTGAAAAGTGCGTGGTTATTGAGCCAATGAACAGAGAGCATTTTTCAATTGTCTTGGAGTTGTTTTGGTACTGCAATGCTAATTTCCATTGTTCATTTAAGCGRCTTTGTCACACTTAAAGTGAAGAATCCAGAGTAAATATTTTGAATACCTGAAATAAGCCTAAGAAATTGTTCCTTATATTAAACAAATACAATYTGCTTGATTATTTTTTTGAAATACGAAACAGTTTTGGCACGATCCTTTTGTTTGGAAGTTTGGCGACACGATGACATTTATATCACTTTTAATTACTAGTTTGCTTTTACCTCTTGAATGAAAAACAACTCTTTAAATAAAAGTATCAATTATAAATCTAAACATTTTAGCTCAATAACCAMGCACTTTTCAGTTTGATTTATTGACTTGTGTTTCTCAGAGCTAGATTTTCAGAGAATTYATAGTAACACTGAGAAGTTTAGATTAAAATTTCTGTTCCCACCGTGTAAAACAAACTTATCACATTACTGATGTCCTGTCTGCAGTAAGTAGCACCGTGAATGCTAATTTATGCAAATTAGTTTTTATTGGGCATTYTTWCAAGTCTTCTCGTAGATAAGCCGCACCCCCGATTTGGGAACGATTTTTTTAGAAAAAAAGTGCGGCTTATACATGGGTAAATACGGTATGCCTACACTATAAACTCCAAGAGCATTATAGTACATCGCACATGGATCACAGAATCGAGCAGCGGGACCCAAAAGCCTTTTAAAATCAAAGAAAGCTGTGTTCACAGGTGGCGATCACAAAGAGAAAACTTTATTTTCCGTCTTTTTTCCCCTTAAAAACGTTCCCAAAACTTGRGGTGCGGCTTATCTACGAGAGCGGCTTATTCATGAGTAAATACAGTAGTGACTAAAGGCAGAAAAACGCTGAAAAAAACTGTGAAAAACGCATTTCTTGACTTCTTGCAGTACTGCCTCAAACCAAAACAAACCAGCTGTCAAAGCCAAGAGTTTAGCTTGAATATGCAAATCTAGGGTATTTTATAGTCTAGTSATCAGTTGTCAAGCCAAAGAAGTCTGTAACTATAGGCTCTTTTTAGAAAGAAACCAGGAGAAATAAGTACTAAATAAGATTATTTAGACTGAAAATTAATATGTGATTGAAGTGATTTTTTTTCAATTTATAGAAAATTTCAAAAATACCCTAAAAGTCACTTGGCCGTTTTTGCAGCCAACCCTTCAATTATGTAACATATAGAGGATATTACATGGGCACTCAGAGATACGGATTTTATCTTCGAGTGTTGAAAAGATCTCTCACGAGTGAACTTAGTGTAAATATCAATTTTACGAAATGGAGAAATATGGGTATTTCATAGATAATTATATGATAAACATGTATATGTGATATGGTCATTGATGGACTGTTTACCAACTGAACATATAGAAAAACCACACAACCCTGCCCATTTTTCCTGTTAATTATAATGGGAATCCAAAGTAGTGCTAGCAAAGAGTTTGTAAAAGACATTTGTACAGGAGTAAATTTTAAATATTGCTTACATTTGTACATGTGCCAGTTCATTCAAAGTTATCCTTTGAGTGTCAATTAAAATACTTACCATGATGTACATTGAAGCCCAATATTATCACTTTTTATTTAGCAGGTGTATATTTATTTATTTGTGTACATGATCTACAAATGCATGTATTGTTTGCATCACTAATAATTCTGCACAGCAGAGATTAGTGTAATAATAATAATAATAATAATAATAATAATAATAATAATAATAATAATAATAATAATAATAATAATAATAATGAAGTAATACTATGAAGTACTATTTTATACATGTACTTTATCATTAAAATGATCATATTTTAATGAATTGCTTTACAATTTAAGGAGTCTGCATCAAAATGGTATTGATGATTTACTCATTTACATTGGAAGCTCTCCCGATGAGGTAATTTTCATAGTTTGTGAATTCCTTTGCTAGGACATCATTAAACTCCAAGTATTTTGTTAATTAGGAAGGTTTTGAAAGTTGTAAGAACTTTTGACTCCATGTATACATGTACATGTACTACCCACATTGACACTTGTGAATTGAGTGATTTTCAATTGACTATGAAAAGAAAATGACTATATCTAGTTTATACTAGCTGATTGAACATAAAAYTTGAGTAAATTTACCATAATGAAGTAATTTTACATGAATAACAGAATATCACACTAAGGTGTCTAAGAAAACAACATCCACACATTATTATAGGTTATCACATTTTATTATCACCTTGTGTCGGTAAGGGAACTTTTACTTTAAAATACAAATATATATATGTACTTTTCAGAGACGATGGTGTATGCACACTCTAGAAGTCATTTCTTTGATGTTAAGAGAACAGGTAAGTAGACTTTTGTGTTGGACATAT